CCCCGTCTCTCGCTCCTTTCCCCGGTTCCCAAGCGGTGGCAGAGAAGCCCCCGGCCCATAGGAAGCCGACCTCGGGCTCGGGCCCGGTCTTGAGCGGCGGAGGGTGGTCAGTTTCTTTTGCCCGCCGCCCCGGGTAGGCCAAGGCCGCTCCTCCAGGAGGAGCTGCCCCAGAATGTGTGGGACGAGGGCGCACTACGCGGGCGAGAACTTTTCCTTCTGTCCTGCGTGACTCGGAGGGTTTTAGTAAAACAAAAAGCAGGGGCCCCTTTCGCAACTGCCAGGGATCCGGTCGGGGGGGGCGGGATCCTCGGTCGCTTTAGTTCGATCCCCAGCGAGGACAGAGGGCAGAGGCGGTCGCCTTCAAGGGCTTTTTAATCCAGCCGAATCCGTACCCCACGCGCTCCCCAAGCCAGAAAAATCGATTGAAATTAAATGCGGCGGACTTATATTTCCCCCTCCCGTGTTACGCGTGTAACTCTCGGAAGTTGGCAAGGTGTAAATAATGCCCACATTATTATTATTGTTATTATTATTATCCACAGTATCCCTGTGCGGAAGCATTTGTACAGTATATAAGGGACAGGAACGGGTATATAAGTGCACGTGCTTATGAGTGAGTGTCCATGCGTGGATATGCGCGCGCGTACACACACACACACACACACACCCCGCACTTCACTTATTTGGATAGCTTCATTTTTTTAACCTTTTTTTTTCCATTCAAGTCCTGCAAGAAGCATATCTATTCAATGCCCTTGCCAAAAAGAAAGAAAAAAAAAATCTATTCAAAGGGCATTTAGTTTCTTTCTTTCTTGGCCGGTAACCCTATTCATCAATTGTTCAGTCTTGTAGATGGCATTCTAATGCTAATCTAGCGTGTTAAATATCTTTTTGTTCCCCTTTCACCATTTTGTCATTCAGTTTATCCAGTTTTGGTCACCCATTTTATTTATTTATGCGCCTGTTCCCATCCAGGGGCTCATGTATTTTTTATTATGTTGTTTCTCTGTCATGCAGTGTCAACTTAGTCTATTCAACAGAGGCTACTTGAAGGGCCCGGGAGGACAAAGCGTGTACACAATTGCACCGCTATTCAGTGTGGCCAGCTGGATCAGCTAAAAAAAGAGAGAGAGAAGAGAGAAGAAGAAAGGGAAAGAAAGAAAAGAGAAAGAAAGAAAGAAAGAAAGAAA